CTCACGTTCGCGGCCGCCACGCGAGAGCGTGGCCGTATATGCGGCCCGAGAAGCGTGCGCCCGCGCGCACAGATATGCGCCCGTCGATCGCACGGCGATAGAGAGAGAGGGTTTTGGATGGATTTAGAGCGCAGTGAAATATGCCAAGGAGACGGAATGGGGAGATACCGCTTCCGGATGGGTGGGACGTCGCCCAGGACTTCGACGGGAAGGTGTACTTCATCGATCACAACACGCGGAAGACTACGTGGATCGATCCCCGGGACAGGTATGTATCGAGCGAGAGAGCGAAAAGCTCTTCACCTTTCTCCGCATAGGAATAAGAAATAAACGTGACGATCTCTCACGACGTGCGGAATAAATAGATAGGATAATCCCCCGGCCCCGCGGCTCGCCGGCTCTCGATATTAATATAATGCGAGTTTGAAAACATTTTTCCCCCTTTACTCCTCTTTACTATTCATTTCTCTTTCTCTGGTATATATTTCCGGGATCCATCCACGTTTGCGAGAGAAAAAGAGAAATGATAATGATAATGGTGAATCGTTATTTATTTAGCGCTAGCCGGGACAAGTTTCCCCTTAAGCGCTGGGGCAAAGTAAATATATGGAACAACACAATAGTAAGCGCAAAATTAAGAATAAATTTAATAGATAGACAGAGAGAGAATTCGCGAGCATATCGGTATAAGTGTGCGTGCGCTCGAGCGTCACGACGATGCGCTGCTCTCCCCGCCACGGCTCCCCTCCCCCCTCCTCTCGTCACGAGACCGCGATCTGGCGTGGATACGCGATTCAGCGCGCGATTCGGCGGGAATGCGTATATACGGGGTGTATCGCGCGAGTCGCGCGCTTTCTCCGTAGATTCCACGGTGGATATTCATGGTGGGACCGATTTTTCCTCGGCGAAGCTTTGACGCGAATCTCCGTTTTACCGTTTGCTGTTTGCTGTCCGAAGTATTCGATACAATATTCTCGTTTCTCGACCGACGAAAAATCACAATCCGGATCACGTGACGATATATCGAAGAGAGTAAAAATCCATTCAGTGCTCATTGTTATTTATATTTCGCGATTTCCCCTGATGTTTAATTCACGGAAATCCGATCTAATTTTCCCTTGAGACACCGAAAAAAGAAAAGACTCCGTTGTAACGTGTGGATATCACGAGTGGATATCGCGGTTGCCAATCTGGCCTCTAACGCCTCTGTCGTGCGGAGAAAGTGCGCGACTTCCAAGACATCCTGTATACGTTTTTGCGCGCGCATAGCTCGCGTGCTTCGGGATCGCGCGAGAATCGTCGCTCCGTGTGAACTCGCCTTTTCGCGTTTCGCGAGCGTATTTTCCGCGAGCGAGCACAAGCCTCTCACTCCGATCGTCATTTTTTTTCTCTTTTTTTTTTTCCTCGAAATATCACCGATTGTTTTTCGCAACGATTTTTGCCCGCATCGCGAGGCAATGATGACGAGCAGAGACTGACAAATATACGCCGCTACAAAGTAGCTCGATGTGAACCGATGTGAACGCCGCTGAAATTGGTAGAGTATGCATACGCATGCACACACATATGTATGTACGTCGCATTCCCGAGGTATCGAGGCTGCATAGTTGCATATAAGCACGTACGCCGCTCGCGAGGAAAATTGATAGCTAACAGGCGGAATTTTCTACTAATGTAGAACTCACGCCTAATCGTTAAATACACCACTGGATGAAATTTAATCTCTTTTTTTTTCTTATAAATAATCTCGGATATCGCATTTGGAAAATCGTAGAGGTGTGCGAACGGTTTGAGTTCGAATCGAATCGAATCACGATGAATTCGAATTTTTCAGATTCGAAATCGAATAGTTTAAAAATTTCGAATCATCAATGATTCGATTTTGATCAATCGCGTATCTTGATTGTTTCATTTATTCATTCATCATTTATATCTTACGCGCGATTAATTTTGTATCTTGTACATTACTGTGCGTACCGTAAATATTATTGAGAATTGAAATCCTGCTATAATCATCGTGGACTCTTTCTCGATGTAATTGAAAATATTAATTTATTGTCATAAATACTTTTAAAGTTATATAAAAAGTAATGGACTTGATGCTATATCAAATTAAATACTGAGTGTACGTAAAAGTCATTTATTTTATTCAGAAATAGCCGTTTTAGCATTGCTCTAACATGCAAAAATAAATGCAATTAATGAATTAATAGATGATCAACAGATTTTTTCCATACTTCCAAATTTACTTATAAAAATCATTTGGATATCATAATGGTTTGTAATATAAATCCGGAAAAGTTCCACTTGATTTGATTCTGAATTTCTTACAAATGCTTGATTTACTCACTTCTAGAAAATTAAAATACTTTCTATCAGATGTTCAAGATAAAAGAAGAAATAACACTTCTCTAAAAATTACATGTAAAGAATAGTAAAAAATTTATTGCCATAATAATTTGTATATTCTATCGACGTAAAAAATTCGTTTCGAATAGAATAGGACAGTATTCGTTTAGAATATCATTAAAAAAATTATTATGTCATATTTGTTAAACATGATTGTTGAGGAAATCAGACGTTTTGCGTGATATTTATTTAATACCTTGTCCCGTTGTCAACTGAGCTTTTTATTTTTGGAGACTAACGAGGTATATCCAGTATCGGATGATTACGTGTTATCTAATGTCATTTTAACGATAATGCCCTAGAAAAATCTGTGAACTAAATTAACTGCAGATTAGTGGGGAGTTGTTATCTCTATACTAAAAAAAGAGCATTCCGTCTTCAGATACTGTTATCAGTCTTTTAACCGATAGACGCATACCAGAGGCAACATTCTTCGCTCGAGAGGATCCGAGATGAATTTTCCTTCTTCACGTATATATCACGCGCGCCATTGAGATGAATCTTCGCGATCCTCTCGTAGGTCTACGTGTTCTCCGTTATTCTATCCGTCCTCGCGATTCGTCGCGAGTCACACGATTCCGCTGCATCTCTATGAAAATCATCTACACCTGATTCCGCGAACCAAATGAACTTACGTGAACTTACGATTTTTTTAAATTTCAAAGAATGTGAGAATTTCTCCTTTTTCCATTATACTTATCTTTTTCGATGCGAAGGCACGTAACAAACGTATGTGGATATCGATACAAAAGTAAACGGATATAACAACTTGTTTTACCGTTATAAATATTAAATTAATATCACGATTATATTATCACACTTCCAGATAAAGTGAACTAAAAGAACTCAATCGTTCGAAGAAATATTTTATCTAAACTCGTTAAAGATTTATCTAAAATGCCTTGTGTCGCCGGATGTGATTTTCTCGGACAAGTCCGCGCCTCCCAACGCGATCAGGTCTTCCAACCATATTTAATAGGACTTCGAAGCTTGAAATAACGTTAATTGTGAAATCGCACGTGTGAACGCCGCTTAAGTTTGCGGGGCGTCGTATATCCGCGCGAGTATCCGTGCGTATGTATACCATACAATATTATATGCCATGTCATGCCATGCCATGCTATACCTTCCCTTGCCACGCCATGCCATGCTATATCTTCCCTTGCCACGCCATGCAATGCCATGCCATGCCATGCCATACCATGCCATGCCATGCCATGCTATGCTATATCTTGCTTTGCTATGCTATGCCATGCCATGCCATGTCAGGCCATACCCCAATGTCATGCCTTGCCATGCTCTGCCATGCCATGCCATGCCATGCCATGTCATGTCGTACGCTCCGCGCGCAATGCGCCGGGACTCGTCGGGACTCGCCGCGCCCGCATTCCATCCGCCAGGGCCGCGGCGCGCGCTCTCTCGCCTCGCTGAAAAACGCGAGAAATCTGGCGATCAGGCAGGCTCGGCGTTAGCCTGGCCTCTCTCGTTTCGCGGCCGCGTGGAAATTGAAACGCCGCACTGCCGCGACGGATCTTTGCGCGAATCTTGGCGGCGGCTGGCTGTTGCTCCTGCTGCTCGCGCCGCCTTGCAAAATCGAAACGCCTGGCATCTTCGCGCGATTATAAAAACGCGGTTTAATTTTGCGAAAAGCAACATTTCGGATAAAGTCATCTCTTCGGCCGAGATATGGCAGATGCGCAGAATTTTCGTCTCATTCTCGAAAATGCGTCGCGGAAAATACCGCGTATCGCATTTGCGGAACGCTCGCGTGCATTTCGTTATCTCGTTAGTTTAGTTGCCTCTCCGGAATAGACATTCGCATAGTGTCTAACTATTTTCAAATTAACTATGATGTATTTTTTATGACAAACGTGATCGGTTGACCGAGTGACTAAGTATAGCATTTGACGCGTTAAAAAATTGGAACGTCAAAATTCACAAAGCCAAAATGATAATAAACATACAAAGAATACTCCATTTTAGAAGAAATCAAAACCACGTACATACAAATAAAAATATAATACATGATGCAAACTGATTGTGAAGGCTCCTTAAAAATAATTCCTTCAATAGTATCCCGTAAAATCGAGTTTATCCTGCAAGAGATTCGGTATTTCAGCCTTTTAATAAAATTCAATTATATAAAACCTCCGTGCCTATAACATAATAGTTATATAACATAATAAACCGGATTGGATATAAGATTTGACGATAAGATTACATTCTTGGGGGAACGGTAGCTGCATAGATAAAGGATGACGTCAGTTCGCGTATTTTCGACGGTTCACCGTTCACGCTGAGCGCGGGCTGCCCTTTCTCTCGGCTAAATCACCTAAACCACCTCGGAATGAACTCGTTTTGTTCGTCAATTTGTAAGCTGTCGTTTGGCGGCGCAAAAAAAGAATATGATTTACGATCGCTACCTCGTAAAAGTGCGCCGGGTGACGCCGCAAAATGTTCGCCCGACGAAACGTATACCTCTGGTGGCTCCCCCTCCCCCCCCCCTCCTCCCTCTTCGTACGAAGAGAACACGAGGGTCACGGGATAACGCGTACGCCAAATGGATCGTCGTGGGCGATGGTAAAAATGTCAGGGCACCCGAACTTTTTTATCTCGCGCGAGCGTCTGGTGCAGCGCCAACGCGATGCACTTGTAAACAGCGCGACTCCTTTCGCGCGATTACGAGCGACCGCCTGGTCTTCACGAAGGAATGTCTGACAGACGGAATGGTGAAAAGGATCCAGATGAGTAAGACTTTTCGATTGTACCGAGAAGGAGCTAAAGCCCAAAATCTCGCTTCTCGCTTTACAGCGCCAGTTTCAGTCGTCGCTGAAAATGGCCTGACTGATATCAATTAAA